ATTGTTTTTTTAATACGTTTGTATTTCTGCAAATTTTCATGTTCCCCCAGACCTGCTCGCACCTGCCTCTCGTGCACGGAAGATACTGTTTGGACTAGGCAGTAATAAGAATTTGCATGGTGGCCTCTATTATTATTATTATTTTTAAAATACCTTCTGTCACTGCATATCACAGGAAACACTGCTTAGCCTACATTGGAAATCGGTCGTGTTCCATTGTTTCTGTAATTCTGGGAAGAACTATACCTTTGGGAAGAAAAGGGATTTTTATTGTGTAAAATGTGAAGAAATGTGATGGTAGTTACTCAAGCAGCCCGCATCTGGAGAAAAGCTATAAATCATCAACTAGAACATTAGGTGCACGTTAAAAGTTTAAACAGTTTTTAATAATGTAGACAGATCTGCTGTGGAGTTGCCGACATATAAATGAGACCAGGACCTGACTTTATACTACAAAATTTTACTAAGTGGGGAAACTGTCGTGGAAGGGCAGGGGTCTGAGGAAGGTGAAGAGGATCCCAGGAAGGGGTGTAGCCATGATTGGTACACACCAGGACAAGCTGAAGATGGGGAAGGGGAGGTGGGGACTTAGGACAGGGGTCAGCAAACTTTTTCAGCAGGGGCCCAGTCCACTGTCCTTCAGACCTTGTGGGGGGCCGGACAATATTTTGAAAAAAAATATGAACAAATTCCTATGCCCCACAAATAACCCAGAGATGCATTTTAAATAAAAGCACACATTCTACTCATGTAAAAACATGCTGATTCCTGGACCATCCATGGGCCGGATTGAGAAGGCAATTGGGCTGGATCCGGCCCTTGGGCCTTAGTTTGCCTACCCATGACTTAGGAGGTACTTAGCAGGCATCAGAGGACGTTGAAGGGGCAGCTGACAGTTCATGAGAGCCAGGGGACACATCTCCAGAACCAGAGGTACCCCTTCTCTGTGAACATGACAGGCTCTGAGGCGCCGTGAACAGCGAGAAGTGGACTTAAGAGACTGAGACAGGTGAGACAGCCCAGCTTACTAGCCGAGCAGGTGAAGATCAAGGGACTCCTTGGGTCAAATGCTTCATGTGGGGAGGGAGACACAGCTTCTCAGCTGGAGCAAGCTCAGATGTGTCAAATAAGATTGGGAGGAGTAAAAAGAGAAGCAAGGCAGAGACTCTGGGTCTGGTCAACTTTCACCATTGATGGACCACAGTGTGGCTGTTTTGGGAGCTGCACTAGGTTGCAATTTCAGAACTGCTTTTTCTTGGAGATTCTAGTCTGTTTTGGTGGAATAGTGAGGTTCAGTGGTTGTTCGAGATGAAATTACTGCAGAATAAAATGGTGCGATCTTATGGGTGCTTCCTTAACTACCTGAGGAATCCCCAGGCATGTTAAGAAAAGACAGGGAAGAGTATTTTGGGGAAGCTTTAGCGCCTTGCCATAAGTTAGGAAACACTTCTTACATCCTCCTCTCCCCTCCACAGGCATAGATTTATAGAAAAACAAGGTTTTCTTATGCATAACGCAACCTCGTGTGTGTTATTCATCAGGATATAAAAGGGAATGGAAATTGTGAAAATGCATTTGGTTTCACACCTTGGAGTGAACTGTTTATTAACATCATTAATTTGATAAGTATAATGGCAATGAACAGGAGATAAAATTCAAATCCTTGTAGCTGAATTTCCTGTGGCATTAATTTACGGCCCTGGAAAGGTTGTTTACAAAGACGATTGGTATTAAGCCACAGGATTCTGTGAAGATTACCACATACAATTAAATTTAGAAAAGAGTGTCTCCATGGGAACAGCCAGTGCCTTACTTGAGAGGATATGCAAATCCTTATTTGCTTTGAGAGTAGAATTCTGTCTCCCTCCCCTATCCTAAATCAGCAACAAAATATGTTTTAATCTATTGTGGTTTCGCCAACAAAATGTATTGCGTGTTGTGCTGTTTTCTCAAAGCCCTAACAGTTGGAGAGAAGGCGACCAGGGCATTCATTCTAACGAGAGGGCTTTCTGACTCTTGTGGGAGACATTGCTGAGATGCGTTCAGTGGTTTGCTTCAGGATCGTTTGTATAATTTCCCCAATTTAATCATTCCAAATGGGCAGCGTTTTCCCGAATTGCGTTAACACAATGGATGGCAGACTTAAACCAATAATTTCCAAACTTGGGTTTCCAGGTGTTTCTGGACTACAGTTCCCATGATCCCTGACCTCTGGTCCTGCTAGCTAGGGATGATGGGAATCATAGTCCAAAAACAGCTGGACACCCAAGTTTGGCAAACTGGACTAAAGTATTGCCCAATGGCAACATGAACTGCTAAACCACCGTCTGTGTTACACTTCCTTTGTTTCATTTGAATGCGTTCTGGTGAAAGGACAAGTAGAAATTCAGAGCTGATCATTTTGTCTAATGTAGTCTTGGCCAACCTGATGCATAGCTGTCAACTTACAGATTTGAAAATAAGGGACCAGCAGCCTCAAAAATAAGGGATCAGCAGCCAAAATAAGGGATCAACAATTACTTTGATAAAATACATATTTTGTTGTGTGCAAATGGCTTTAGATCCCTATTAGGTCCATAAATTACCATCTAGCATATGTTCAACACAAAAAAGCAACAATTTGTTGTTGACGAAGGACAGCTGGACATAGAAAGGGCCCCATTACCTTCAGTAGCTTATTTAAGGGACATCATCAATAAGGGACAGCAGCGGGACATGGCACTGGGATAAGCGACTGTCCCGCCAAATAAGGGACACTTGACAGCTATGACCTGATGCCCTGTAGTTGTTTTGAACTACAGCTCTGATCAGCCCCAGTTAGCAAAGGCTGACTTATTCCCAACTCCCATCAGACATAAAGCTCCTGTTTTTTCCCATGCTCATTCTCCTTTATCTCTGCTGAGCGGCGCTGCTCTGTTCTTCTCCCCTTTACTTTGCATGCTCTTTGCTGTGGTATCTTTTGCCGCGCGTGCTGCCTCTCTAGCTGCCAAATCTCTTCCAGTTTGAGAATTCTTCTACATAAAGGAACAGGACTAAGTTCTGCTGCTTTCCTACTTCCTCTCCCTCCCCACTCAGTTCTTCCAGGCTAACGACTTTTTTTGAGAGATAAATTCTCCAGGGTGTCCCATTACAGATTATCTCATTTTCATATTAAACTGCATTTTTTGTTGTTGCTGCTAGGGAAATGATCCCACCTACCCTACCAAAGTAGCCTCATAACTGCAGTTTTCGATGCAATGCAGATGCACGTTCCACGACTGCTCATTGGATGGTGGCTGTGATATATCATCAAAGGAAAGGGATACATTTTCTCACCCTATACCTCTGCTAATTTAATTTAATTTTTTAATTTTTCACATTATTTCTTTATTCAAAAAAATCTCCAGTAATTGAGCCACCACTCCGTGGTAGAGCATCTGCTTCGCATGCAGAAAGTCCCAGGTTCAGTTCCAGACGAAGCTTGGAGAAGACCCTTAATTAAAATCCTGGACAGCTGCTGGCAGTCAGTGTAGACAATTCTGAGTTCTAGAAGGGCCAGTGATCTGACTCAGCATGAAGCAGTTTTCTATTTTCCCATTCTGCCCACTGACCTTAATAATTTCCTTTAAGGACAAAACAATGATTGCTTAAATAGACTAACCTCAAAATGCATCTAGTTATGGTTTATAAGCATTCGTTGTCTCGTTCTTCAGTTAAAAAAGGATTACCGCAGCAATTTCTAATAGATTTCATGTAACAGGGCAACAGAACAGCATAAAGTTAACAGAGTCTGTTTTGTGAAGAAAATGAGGATATAAATGTTCAAAATAAATAAGCAAAATTCAGAGCTAAAATGACTGGAAACAAGCTCTACGTTTGGTGCCAGGCGAGCCTGATTGGGGAGAGAATTCCAGGACCAGAGTACCATAGCTGAGAAGACCCCATCCTCTGTTACCACCTGCCTCAGTTCTGGTGGTAGTTGTGACCTAGAGAAGGGCATTTGAAGATGGTCTTGATGTGCCAGCAGTTTTGTGCAGGGAAAGGTAGTCCTTGAGAACATGGACCCCAACTTTTTTAGGGCCTTCTGTTTTAAGATCAAGTGGGGTTACAAATGGACCCATTTGTTCTATTGTCTGGGGCCAGTCATTATCCTAGCTGTTGTATTTTGAACCATCTGTACGTCCCAGACAAAGTCAGCCCCAAGTTCAACATATCTGCAGTCGAAAACAACCACATATGTCTTCCATCCATTTCCCTCATCTTCCTCTGTTTCCCCTGAATTTCAGATTGTAAACTTGAGACAGGGACCTGTCTCGTATTCTCTAAAACTACATGCATCCCAATGGTTAATGCAGTTAATGGGTTAATTCTCCATGAATCAGCTGAGATGACTCATTCCCCACAATGCATCTGCTCTCTTAGGGCTCTCTTATCTGTGTTATTGGGCAGATTTGGCAAGTGACTGTATAAAAGGGCTCAAGTTACAGCATATTGTGGGGAATATTGTGAGGCAGGAAATGTTGCAGGCTATGTGTTGGAATTCTGGATTCAAGCAAAGACTTTTTGAAAATATGGTCTATGAAAGAAGTTGGGAAATTACAAGAACTCAGAGAACTCTATCAGTTGCAGGACTTTGCAAGCAACTGAACTAAGGATTTGGTTATGGACTTTAACAGAGCAAGGACTTTGAAGCAAAGAACCCTCTCTGGGTTTAGAGAAAGAAGACTATTTTTAACGTGTAGATAATGTGTAGATAGTATGTAAAGTGGTGTATGTTGGTGTTGGCCTAGAAAAGACAACTCTCTTAAACACTTGACTCAGATTCTGTAGTGCATTTATCCCAACCTCCCCAACATGGTGCTATATAGACAATGCCAACTTTCTGATGGCATACAGGAAAAAGTCAATGAGTTTTCATTGAGCATTACTACCACATATAGTTCTGAAATAAAATTGTGAAACTGTAAATCCTTACTTCCAAAAAAAGTAACCACCATTCTTCTTTTCTGTCACTATTTTAGGAGCACAGACTTTTAGCAGTAGGACTGACTTTCGAATTAGCACCTTGAAGTTTCACCCTCTTGATCCAAATGTATGTATCTGTGGAGGATTCAGTCCAGAGGTCAAGGCCTGGGATATCAGGTCTTCCAAGGTAAAAATAAAATTGAGTAAAAAATTACTTGTATTTGTTTTTGATAAGCATCCTAGGAAGGGAAGATGCATGTGGATAGGTAATGATGCTCCTTCTGGAATGGATAATTGTCCTTTTCCGTTGAAGCAGCATGGGAACACAATTTTATTATTCTTACTGTCTCTCAAGAAAGTAAACAGTCAAATGCAATCTTTGATGTGCTCTTCTTGTAAAAGAAAAAGAATAAAGAAAATATGAACACATCTAAAAAGTTTATTTTACATTTAGTTTTAAATATCATTTCACCTCTCTGGTAAGTCCAGCAGTTGTCTGCTATTAAAGAATACATATTCACTAGGAGACATCAGTTTGTAAGTAAGCACTTGACTGCTATAATAATCAACTGTGAGGTTTTCAAAACTATCTCTGTTTTGTCTGTTCACTTGTAAGAATCTTTTTCATTTTATAAGCTCTACTCTACTAATAACTATGTCTGGATCTGACAGCAGGCAATTTTGTATTAAACCACCACTTGGGCTCCCTATGCATGCTTCCCTGGGAACAAGTTCTATTAAACCTATTGGAGCTTACTTGTGAGTAGGCACGCATAGGGTTCCTCTTGCCTGGGAGCAGACTTCCTTGAACACAATGGGACTTACTTACAAGTCATAGCTGTCAACTTTTCCCTTTTTTAAAAGGGAAATTCCCTTATTCTGAATAGGATTCCTCGCAAGAAAAGGGAAAAGCTGACAGCTATGTTACAAGTAAATGTGCATAGGATTGCACTATTAGGATGTGGCTCAAATTTCTGCTCAGTCATGGAATATATAATGCACAGATATCAGGAAATACAGGAATTGTGCTTCTGAGAGAGACGAGGCTAATTAATTATTAACTTCACAAATTGAGTTGTATGATAAATATAGCAGACTGCATTTTTAAAAAATGACTTAATTAAGAAATAATGGTAATATCTCATTGTGGTGCAAAGCAGCAATCAAATTCCCAGGATTGCAGACCAAGACTGTTGGTTTGTTACGGCAGAGGCAATTGATTAAGTAATGTAAGGTCTCTTGTGCTTTTCTATCCATAGACAGACTGTGAAAAAACTGAAAGCTTGTCTGCATATTCTGAAATTTCAGTCAGCCCTGCTTAAATCCACAATGCTGCGTCTCTTGGACCTGCTGTATGTGTTCTTCTTGGAAGTCTCAAAACCATTCTCATACAACTTCAGAGTTTGTTCTGTATTATCAGTATAGCTCTTTACTGACTTTAAAACCCTTTTGTTCAAAGCCTTTTCATTCAGTGGTCTTAATGGTATTTTTTATTAAGCCCTCTTGTATCCAACTGTCTGCACTCATTTTATCTTGGCTTCCACCTTCTGCACAAAGATCCATTTAAAGCTGGAATGTTTTGTGATCTCCTGCCACCCTTGAGGCCAGAGTAAATGTGACATCAGAAAGTTTGTGCATTTAAGGACGAATATGGGAAAAGTGAGGCGCTGGTGGTTAAGCTTAGCTTTCAACAGCAAAATAAGTGTATGGATGAAGAGCAGAGATTTCACCCACTCCTTTTGCCTGTCATTTACCAACCCATCATCCCTCTTTTCAGTCCCTCTTCTCCCAAGCCAGTCATATCAGAGTGGGTTTGACCGTGGTAGTTGACCTCCATTGGGACAGTGCTGGATTAAACCTAGTGGAGACCCCTAGGCAGTTGAAATCTTTGGGGCGAGGGGCCTTTCATAGATTATCTCCTAATATGCCTTTGATTTTACACTTCTACACGGCTACTCGTGAATATTCTAGGATCTGGAGTCGGTAGGAACTCATGACACACTAACAAAGCTTCATAATAATAATAATAATAATTTATTATGTATACCCTGACCATCTGGCTGGGTTTCCCCAGCCACTCTGGGCGGCTTCCAACAAAGTATTAAAATAAAGTAGTAAAGTAGTAAAATACATATCTGGAGGTTTTTTATGCATGGACTCTAGTGGAATAGCATTGAACTAAGAAAGCTTGATTGTAGTTTTGTTCCAAGATCAAAGCAATATTATTTTGATCCATTGTCATGGGGCCCCTAAAAGACGTGGGTCCCATAGACTGGTGCCTATTGTGCCTATTTGGCAATCCGGCACTACACTGGGACTTGGAAGGGAGGGGGAAAGCAGATGGAGTCAGAGCCAGTGTCAGTCAGAGCCAATGATAAGTGGAATTAGAGCTAATCACCAACAGACCTATGATTCCTGTATTACAGGGTGTCTCTTCCAACTCGACAATTCTGTGATTCTTTGACCACACTGAGAAGGAAGGTGAAGGAAGCTGATAGCCAGGGTCACCCCTGGGTTGGTTTACAAGTAAGAAGGCAGCCAAGTGGAGGATGACCAAGGGGCTGCCTGAGATTGGTGGTTCAGTGCCCACTCGCCCTAATAGATGAGACTCCACTGGTGGTTCAGCAAAAAAAATAGCTGTGTAGGGATCAACAAATCTGTCCATTCCAGTTATATTACATTCCTCATTTTCCCAGTCTTAAATCTGGTTTTCTACATTTCTGCAGCAATTTGCTGTTTTATTTTATAGCATGAAAATTCACCAACATTTTAGTGTGAATTTCACCCAATAAAGCACATTGTTTTTGCCTGCAGTTTTGACTAATGCTCACATGTTACACATGCCATTTACCCCAGTGTAATGCATTTTGTATTTTATTTTCACCAATATATGCACACTTACTCCAAGATTGGTAAATGTTGTTTGGTTGGATAGTGCGAATTTTGAAGGATGTGTTTTGGTTGGTGCATTAGTTTGAGAAGGGCAAATTGGGTTGTTCTTCATTAAAATGCAGACAAAATCGAACTTTTCCGTCATCGCTGTGTGCATTTGTAGGTATTATTATGAGCTGGGGCTGATTGGAGTTGTACTCTGTAGGGCACCAGGTTCATGAAGGCTGCTCTAGCAGATTAAGAGTTGTTGACACTTTATTATTAAAGTCCATTGTATACATTGGTAGAATTTTGAGATTCATCTCTTTTTTCCCTACAGGTAGGGGTGTGTGTGTGTGTGTGTGTGTGTGTGCGTGCTGCTCTCTTCACTAGTTGGCTGCAAAGCCTCCATTTTGGCCTAATAACACTTTTATATATAAAAAAAGTTGTAGGAAAGTTCCTGTTAAAGAATCCAACCAACTTTTTACACTAGTTTACCTTTAGTGTCTTTGACTGGTCATAAATCATTGGGGAGTAATTTCCAGCTTAGGGTAGTTCAGTATGGATCTATTTTCTTCCATTTTCCATCTTTATATCAAGATTGTTTGTGCAAAGCGGCAAGCACAATTTCCTCTTTTTCCATTCTTGTATCCTTATGGTCACATATGAGATAAGGAGGGGGGATGTTCTGTCTGGCGTATCATAATTTTGTCTCCAGTGTGCTCAATTTATCCTTAAGTTGGAAAGAGTAGGCTAGGGACTCACTTCCCAGTTGCCTTGTCATTGTGATGCATGCAAACTGCCTATCCGTACAGCGCATGTATTTCAGACAGTGCTTTCTTCTCAGTTCATACTTAAGATCCATGGCATTTATTCCCTCTTATATACTTGCTGCAGCTTTGATCTTATTTTGCCTTAAATTGCACTTCTAAGTCTTTCCACTTGTCATTCAGCTGAGAAGAGCAGGTGATGTGGGCAAGGCAGTTTCCCCCAACCCTCTTCCTTTCTAATTGTGGCACATGCATTGGTTATCTTTGCCAGGCCTTGGCAAAACCCATTCGCTTTATGCTAGCATCCCGCAAGAGTCATTAGCCATAGGTGTCAGTTTCACGACAATTGTCAGATGGCAATGGTGGTTGCTCGTGAGTAACCAGGCAGGACTCCGACATGTCTTTTACAGGTTTTATTTTGGTGCAAAACTATTTACAGTGCAGAATCACATGTTCGTGTCTGCCTCAGTCGCTAGCAGAATAAGAACTTGGTCACCCCAACCGTTTCCTTCCTTCTTTGCGTTTTACCCCTCTGTGCAAGGTGGGCGACGGAAGAGGCATGTTTCCCTCCTGGCCGGCTTGGCAAGGAGCGGTGCCGCAGCATCCTCTGGTCCCTCTCCCTCTTCCCCACTGGAGGTGTGGCTTTCCCCACCATAGGAAGAGGAACTGCTTCGCAAGATTTTTGGAGGTTCCCTGTATCCCTGTATCTCTGCCTCCCTTCCCTGTTCCAATGGCAGTCTCCTGACAACAATCTTGGCTTTTGTTTTTTTTTCAGACAAGCGCGTTTCAAATTCCCATCCATGTGAAGATAAGCTTGAAAATAAGTGGGAAGTCCAGGAGCTGCAGGGTGGTTGAGTTAGCCTAGTGGGGTTGGAGAGCTGAAAATGATGCCACCATATCTGGCAACCAATGTGCCCCTTGGGTTTCGATAGTACATGGGTTGATGAGTCTAAAAAGCTCAGGGCACAATTTTCCATGTCCCTCCAGTGGCTATGCTGACTCATTTAGCAGAAGTAAATGTATCCTCCATGCAGGAAGCAAGCAGTAATACCATAATTCCATTCCATTCCATCCAGACGAAAAACACTCAAGGAGGATTTAGAGCAGGGGTATGACAAGGTAAGGGACGCGGGTGGCGCTGTGGGTTAAACCACTGAGCCTCTTGGGCTTGCCGATCAGAAGGTTGGCGGTTCGAATCCCCGTGATGGGGTGAGCTCCCGTTGCTCGGTCCCAACCTAGCAGTTCGAAAGCACCTGAAAGTGCAAGTAGATAAATAGGTACCGCTCTGGTGGGAAGGTAAATGGCGTTTCTGTCCGCTGCTCTGGTTTGCCAGAAGCGGCTTAGTCATGCTGGCCACATGACCCGGAAGCTGTACGCCGGCTCCCTCGGCCAATAAAGCGAGATGAGCGCCGCAACCCCAGAGTCGGTCACGACTGGACCTAATGGTCAGGGGTCCCTTTACCTATGATCAAGGTAGAGGCATAACCTATGGTCCCAGGAGCCTGGCTTCTGACATTTGCCCCCTGGGCCTGCGGCTCCCTACCTT